GTTAAAAAACCGATTTTAATGCATTGATACGTACTAGAGACGCCGAGACTTGGTCGTTTGCTACACACGTTTGAGCCCATGGGCTCAAACTTACTTACTGCCAGAAAAATGAACTCTGAGCTTCCTTCCACATACGGCACCATCTGTAACATCTGGGACATTCAAAACAGCCTAGAATGAATGCTATACGCGACCAGAATGGCTGTATTCTGAATGACGAAGTTTTGAGTTTAAGGAGATGGAAGGAATACTTTGAAAGCGTGTTTATGAGTGATGAGACGTTTGAATTAAATGAAATAGAAATTCCGAAAGAAGAGGAAATAGATAGAGACGTAAGTATAGATGAAATAATGAAAGCAATGAAAAGAATGAAAGCAGGTAAGGCAGCCGGATATAATAGAGTATCTCTCGAAATGCTAAGGGCTGGAGAAGGAGTGGTGGCAGACCTGCTGTACACCTTGTTTAATTTGTGTCGGGAACTTAAGCGGGTACCGGGAGACTGGTGTAAAGCCGTAATAGTCCCAATATATAAGGGAAAAGGATCACAGCAGGACTGTAAAAACTACCGTGGTATCAGCCTTCTTAGCATTGTGGGAAAACTGTATGCTAAGGTACTAATTGAAAGAGTTATGAAAGAAAAGGATGGAAAAATTTGGGATGTACAAGCGGGATTTAGAAAGGGAATGGGATATACAAATCAGGTCTTTTCCATGCGCATGATCGCGGAGAAGTTTTTGGCCAAAAACCAATAAGTTTTTTGTGCGTTCGTGGACTTGGGAAAGGCTTATGACAGAGTGGATAGGGATGTGTTATGGCAAACACTGAACTCATTTGGGTTGAGCGCTGGGTTGATACAGGCATTGAAGTCTCAGTATAGGGACTCTAGTGCTTGTGTCAGGATCAACGGGGCCTACTCGGACTGGTTTGGCATCCATAAAGGTATCAGACAGGGCCTATTTATGGACAGTTGTTTGGAAAATTTGAAAGTAGAAGATTGCGGGTTAAGAATGGGTGAGTTAACCGTTAAATGCGTTTTGTACGCCGATGATCAAGTCATACTTGCGTCGTCGGTGGCCTAGTTGCAAATTATGGTTACATTAATGAACAGGACATTAAAAGAAAAGGCAATGAAAGTGAACACAAGTAAGACAAAAGTTATGGTTTTTGAAAGAGACGAAAGTAAAACGATATGTGAAATAAGAATAGAAGGGGAGTTAGTCGAGCAAGTGGATGAGTTTGTGTATTTGGGTTGTGTATTTAGCAGGGATGGTAGATATGATAAGGATATAGAACGACGAGTGAACGCAGGAAATAGAGTAAATGGGGCTCTACACCCTATTGTGAGAAGTCAGAATGTGTCCAAAAAGGCACGTATGATAATTCACAATGCTGTGTTAGTTCCTACTTTAACGACCGACGCAATTTTTTATTGCAATTTTAGGTGTTGATTTACCATGTACTGGGTTCCGTTACAACCTATTAAAGTTCACTGCTTAACATAAGCCTCCCCCATAGATTGCTTCATAGCGGGGATATTTGCCATAGTTGCCACGTTTGTCAAGCGGCTTAGCAACCGCAGATTTTTATATTTAGTCGTTATAAGGAAGACGCCGCTGGCCATCTCCTGATTTGTTTCCCTCTGTCGCCTCTGTCGCCTCTGTCGCCTCTTACGACACCCACGGGATGATATGGCGTAATGGATATCCTTACACCGCCACTGCACGGTTATTGTAATGGTATTGTACTAGGTTAGGTAAAGGTAAACATCACGAGGAAACCTACATATCTGAGAATATAAAAAAAAATATTTTGACGACATGTAAAATTCGCTAACGCATAGAGGCAGCGTGGCGACATTTCTTTGCCCTAAACCATCTTAGAAATTAAAGGAAGTCTGTGCCCAGCAGTGGGACGTATACAAACTGTAACTCAGTATCTGATCTACCACGGTAGATGGCGGTATAACTATCTCGTTAAGAATCAAAATGCATTTGCGTTATCACCCCTGAGGACTAAGATGGAATACGTTGTTTCCAGTAAAAACGGTATCTTGGTTTTTTTATACTGACTACGAAACAGCAGCATTAAGCTGCTATTTAATTAGTAAATCAGTATTAAATTTGTAATTAACAATTTCATTGAGTGTCGGCTGGCATCGAACCAGGGTTGCTACAGTGAAATTTATTCGAACTGAACCACCACGGCTTGATTTACCACGTGTTCCGTGGTGAAGGAAAACATTGTGAGGAAACTGAGAAATAACGAAAAAAATATTTCGAAGACTTGTGAAGTCCGCCAACACTCATTGTGGCAGCGCGGAGAACACTTCTTTGCCCTAAACCCTCGTAGAAATGAGAGGAGGCCTGTGTCCAGCAGTAGGACGTTCATAGGCTGAAACTCGGCAGACGGATTGACGACAGCAGTTCCAGACGTGAGCACCTTTGACACTTCTGCCCGCCGCCGGCCTGGGTATTTTTCATGTGGTGGTAACTTTTTTGGTAGAGCCTCGCGGCAGCTATCATATGGTTGCACTACGAATGGGTCGGCTCGACCGGGGAATCGCCACACTCTCACAGAGTACCAGCGTATAAAATTAAAGTAAAGTCTACTTTACCACGTATAAACGTTAACGCCAAATGTAAAATATCCAGATCGGCGAAGGCAAGCAGTATCCAAGGTGCACACTGCGGTCGTAAAGTTTATTTCGACCAACAAAGACCATATTAGATAATTAGAATAAATAGATGATAACAAAGCCTATTGATAGTAATTAATAGAAATAATAAAGAAACGTTAAATAAGAATAAATAAATAATAAGTAATTAAAAAATCTTTCAGTGGGTACATTGTTGTCTTCAGATTATTTATTTGTCAGTAAATGAGCCATACAACAATGATTCAGGTTCTAACAGGCAACTCTAGTCGAGAACATAGCCGTATTTTAGCTGGCCCGGATCCAACGTGCCAGGGAAGTACATCGCTTGCATATTATGATCGTGTAGAAGCAATCCACTCCCCGATGCGCTGCAGAACCGTGCCAGCCCCATCAGCACTCGAAATGCATTATTGTATTGCACGCGCAGGCTGTACTACTGTTGAGAGTAATTAATTTAGAGGCTGCTTATCTAGAGGGATGGGCAATAAGGTTTAAGCAGCGTAACCTTAACTACATACACAGCACAGGTCTATTTTACAGTCATAAGCTCCGTTTCAGAATTACATAGCCTAAAAGTTGTTTATGTAGGATCTCCATATATTTCTTGTCATCAAATATTCTTTAGTTTGGGCGTTATAGTCCTTACGTATTATTTATTAAGTTATATGTTTTTATAAGTAATTTACTTGTTAGAAAGTTTTTTTAAGAAGTCAAGGGTTTGCCGAATCGAATCCACGCCCATATTTTACCATATGGCGTTAGGATCTATCCATAACGTTTCAGCCAATGATAGCTATAGGTATAATAGTATTATGCTAAAGAAATAATCACTACCGCTGATTCTTTCGTTGCGTCTGTCATAAAAATGTGGTTTCAAAACGAATGGAGTCGATGTTAATTTTCTTTTTTTTTAGTAATAAGTTCGATCGTCAGCTAGTTAATTGAAAATAAACGTATTTATTTGGCAAACAACCAATAATAAACAACTTAAAAAGTCATATATATAAAAAATAATTAACAGTTGTGTAATGTTAATTCTTTCACTCAGTTATAGCCTATAGGGTGTCATAGCACTGGTCTTAGTCTGGTTCTTGATTGACTGTTTTTTTTTAACCTGCCGTAAAGAGATGTTTATAGCACCATCTTTCGGAAGTTATAAGATTGTTCTGGAATTTCCCATAGCCATCACCACGACTACAGGGTAAATAAAAGATCAATATGCAATAATTGCCAAGTATGGAGATTATTGCAGATTATTAACAGGTTGATGAGATGGAGCATGAAATAATAGAAAATTGTAATGAGTATATCACTGTTTAAGAGGTGACAGATGGAAACAACTCTAGGAATGGGCAGCAGTGCCTTTCTAAAAACAACTGAAAAAAAAACTGTGTTTGTCGACCCACCTTCCAAGCCTAGTATCTATGGAAAATATACAGCCCCCCATAACATAGGAGGCCTATGTTAAGCAATAGACTTATGACAGGCTATAATAGTAACGGTACTAAGTAATTGCTGCTGAAATAAGTCGTTGTTCCAGCTGATAATAAGTGGTACTGCAGCCCATTGATATCTAATACCAAATAAAAAAGTGTGTGTGTACTTATGTACGCACGTAGGAAGTTATACTTCTTTACTGTAACAAAACCAAATAACTTGAGAGACAATTACCCACTAAAGTTGTCGCTTTTAGGTGTCGGTGTGCGCGCCCATCGTAAAAATTCACTCTCATCATTTTTCCCAAACACCCCAAAACACGTATAACTTCAAAAAAAGACCACAGATGCTCTGTCACCCATGACGACTAAGATGAAATGCCTCACAATTATGCTAACAATGTGACACCTCAACCTAACAGCAGTGGATGCACTTTCACTTGGCGACAGAAGTATATAGGTAAGGGAACAGTAAAATTAGTAGATTTTCTAGTATTATTAAATTTTGTATCCTAGTACGAGTATCGAATTTTTCAGGTTAATTATTATAGATTTTTGATTGTAACTGACACACAATGCTACGGGCGAGTAAGTAATCATCTAAAAAAACGAAGATTTTATGTGAATCTAATTTAGTATCAGTCTTAAATAGATTATATTAAAAAAGTAGTTGCAATAGCGGTTTAGTTAATTCAGCTTATATTGATTACCAATTGCAGTAAACGATCCTATTAACTTGTCTGCCTAAATGGTACAACAAAGTGGCGTAAATTGAAAAGTAAATATTCTGCCCCACTCCACGCCATACTTAGTCCAAGTAGACTAAGGAGCGTCACTATACGGTTGACCAGGCATCAGTCTCCAACGAAAAGCCGTCGCGTGTCCCAGTTGTTGTCAGTCGCAAGAACATGTCCTTAGCGGAAGGTGCTTCTGACACGGAACATAGGCAAGAAGAAGACAAGGCAAGCCCCGTAGTGGATAAGAAAATCTCTGATAAGAGACAGGTGAGTGAGATTTCCAAGCTTAACTGTGTGCTTAGAGTATTGTAGGTTTAAGAATTCAATAAAGAAACAGTTTTGATTTTATTTAAACTATGATTTTCCGGAAGATTTTGAATACAGTGATAACCCGCAATAATATTGCAATGCATATAACATTATAATAGAGGCATTTTTACGTGGTAGAGCCTAGATGCAGCTGTGTTACTGTTGCAGCACGAATTGGTCGACTTGACTAGGGAAGGACCATGACAGCATAGAATTACCATTACCATTTCTGACTATCAAAAGTCCTGCCTAACAAAAGGCAGAACATAAGTCGTTTATATTGATTGTCTCGTAAGAGGGATATTTGCCATAGTTGCTACGCTTGGCAAGGGGTTGGCAATCCTTCGCAGTTTTTTTACTTTTATTCATATGTAAACAGGAGGAAGCTGCTGCCCAGTTTCTGGGTCAGTTTCCCTTTGTCATCTTACGACACGCACGGTACACGGTTAGGTTAGGTTATCGCACAGAATATCAGCGTAAAATAGCAGCAAGCAATTCTTTCTTGAAGATTCTTTTTTGTCTTCAGGGGTGTCAGTTGTTACACTTGTGTCATCGGACCACCTATCACGTTATTTGCAAACACTTCGCCCAGTAGATTGCTATTGGTCTGTATTGACCTGGGACTACAGACAATTTTTGCTGGTAACGTGGCGATTCCTCTTAGTCCTCAGAGGTAGCAAGGCCTCTGCATTTTGGTCCTTAACCGAGGATAGATATAGGCACCTGGGATGCAACATATCTTTAAAAGTACTGTATGCTCGTTCGTCACCGTTTCTTTTTGGTTGTTTGCATTTGCGCTATGTGTTTGGTTCATCATTAAATTATAATTATTATTGTGAGTTTATTTTTATATAATAAGTGTGACAAACGAGCACACACTCAACCTGATGGTAAGTGGATGCTGTGGCTCATAGACATCTACATCTATTCTCTATAAATAATCAAAGTGTAATAGATGCACCATCACTCCTAAGCACTAAGATAAAATGCCTTGTCATCATAAAAAAGGGTCAATTTAGGTCAATATTTAATGCGTCACTACTTCTTGAAAGACGGCGGTATAGCACCACATGTATAAAAAAGTTATGTGGCAACCTCTCTACGTCCACTGAGCACAGGCCTCCTGTAATTTCTGATAAATCTTATTACTCCTCTTGAACAGATCCATATCCTGTTTATACGTTGAATATTTGTATTTTTTTTATAAAATAAAGATGCCAAACGAGTACACAGTCCACCTGGTGGTAAGTGGTTGCTGTGGCCCATGGATATCTACATCTATCTTCAATTAGCAAATCATTTACATTCTGGTTTTCACTCTTAAGAACTAAAATGGAATGCCTCGTTACCAGCAAAGAGTGTCTTCGGTTTTCTACACTCAACATACGAAACATACCAGCATTATGCTGCTATTGCTCGGTGGTATTTTGTGCGAGCGTGGTCCAGCCCTGGTGGTGGCCAACCATTCGTGTTGCAGCTATAATACGCTACAGCATGGCCCTATTATAATTAGCTTATGTTTATCGTAAATTATAGAAAAATCTTATGTCTTCTAATAGAAGGAGGTATAGCTACCTCGTTTATGCCAGACGTATAAAGACCGTGACCGGTGAAGAGCAGCAGCGTCAAAGATGCTTACGTCTGGTGCTGCGGTTCTTAATCCGCCTGCCGCCGTGATGATTGAAGCAAATACTCTCAACAATGGGAAAAGCCTATAGATATATATCTTTATATATAAAAATTACGTGTCACGTTGTATGTCCGCAAGGAACTCCTAAACTATTGAACTGACTTCAACGAAATTTTGCACACTCTGTGCAGATTGGTCCAACTTGAGAGATAGGATAGTTTTTATCTTGATAAGTGACACTCAATGTTATTTATTACATTTTATTACATTATATACAAGTTTCAGGACTTCTTATAAGTACTTATAAAATGCTTGTGGTAGAAAGTCCTCGTCCTCCCTTTACTAAGTAAACAAAGGACTTGTGCAGGCCGTTAAAAAAATGGAAGAGAATGGAGATAATTATCATTCATACAATTTAATTCTAAGCTACAATAAGCTTATGATTAGGATGCGGAACGTAAACTTGGGTTAGAATCCACCATTCGACCTATCAAAAGTCTGTTAAGCTTTCTGGTCAGCATAAATATTTGTTTAATTATCGCAATTTTAAGTTGCATATGGAAATACCCGGAGCTATAATGTCATATATGCCATACAAATAATTGTTACTTGCGGGATTTAAACCCGCGGCTCGGTAACGCCGCAAACAAACGCTTCTATAAGTTGTTGTTAAAAAGCAATAATAGTATTATTTAAAAAAAATCTAATTAACTCTACTTGAGTATTTTAAGATTCTAAATAAAAATAATTTACGCCTTAAATCGTCCTTCGGTTAACCAACGAAATTAACCAATTTAACCATTAGCTCAATTTGTTGCGCCAAATATGGCGTTACAGTTGTTACTGACCATATAAAAACAACTGCCTGTTCTAAATCGTATTAAGCCTGTCCACCCACTTATCGCAGTTGTAATTATAGTAAATTAGTTTTGTTTTATTGTTACCGGGCCAAGTAATTGGGAAACTACTCGGATTTAGATAATAAGGGCTTATATTACGAGAGTATTTTTATATAATAAGATCAAACAGAGCAAACTCTTTTAAACATTTTAGAATAATTTTTAACATATTCTTTAAAAGCATCGGAAAGATTATATGATCTTTTACGGTAAAGGTCATATAACCTTCGTCTGCTTTTATGAATTCCTACTGTTGCCCACTCATTAAATGCCTTTCGACTGTTTCTGGAGAATGTTTTAGAAGTAAATGTTTTTTTAAATTCATTGCTTATAAGGGTAAATAATTCTCCATATAAATAGTCTGCATTGTTCTTATAAGAAAGTGATGGAAGGTTTTTTACCATATTACTTCTAAATCTCTCCAGGTGTTTTCTATTAATTTACATAGCCCGATGGAACGGTAATTTGACACAACCGGGGAGAGATCAGGCGCATGACCAACAGCTTCCTGATTCCGAGCAGCTACTGAGAATTTCCTGACGTGAAATCTCAATAACTGATTTTTTTGGCCCAATCCGAAATTCGAACCCGGGCCTCATGATCAGCAGTCGCGTTTACAAACACTAGAACAATGAGGCAGGCAGTATCATCATTCAGCCCTTTACAGTGAAATAACACATCCAAACACATAAAACTCAACTCAAAGACCATTTGCGTCATTAACTGAGTCTCACGTAGGTAGTAGTAGTAGGTACATATCAGGGATGGGTGAAATGTACATTAGGCCACTTCACAAAATTAATAAAAAAATTAAATTGGCTACTCTAAAGGTATTACAAAACTAAAAATAGGTCTATGGTTTAAGTTTTTATCATTAAATCTTTTCAAATAACTCTCACACAGTGATTCATTTTTCAAAGAAACACGATGTTTCAATTTAGCTCGTAAAATGTGAAGGGAAACTTGAAATTGGATTATTCGTATTTTTAATTCTTTAGATTATAATACATACAATAATGTGGAGAATCTTTTTAAATTGAAACATTCATATTTTTACTTCTAAATTATAGTTTTTTGGAAATAAACTATAACTGGCCAGTTTCTCATACAAAAAAACTTTTTTCGTAAAACTTTCTACGTGACCTATCGTGTGTATATAATTTAGTATGTATTGTAAGAGATGTATATAAATTATTAAGATCTAAGTCATATATGAGCAAAACAATCGATTTAATTTGTTTCATAAAAATGTCATGTCGTATCTAACAATATATTATGGAACATCATACACAAAACAAAGGATGAGGCTTTATGTATATTGCGTGAAGTCACGCGTGGTGCCGATACAATTACTTTCGGGCGTTTATATGCCATTGTATTCTTATTAGATTTATGTTGAATTGATTCCGTTTCAATCCAGGAACAAAAAGTACATTGGGATACTGAGTTGCTTCAATTTTGCGCTCATCTTAATGCCAATTATTTGATAAATTATTATAATTCAAAATTGCACCCATGCTTAAAGTTTCAAATCTCTAAATTATCGGGAAGGTAGTTTAAGACCAATTGCTAAATTTGTACTGAACCGATAAACAATCAGACAGACAAAAAAGTAAGTCAACATTGCATTGTCATCCAGTTCTGAGCTATGTTAAAAGTTAAAAGTTTCTAGTTCATTGAGAAGTTAGTTTATAATCAATTGCAAAATGTGTACCATGCAGACAAGAAAGTGAGTTAATAAAAACGTAATTAAACTGGTCTTCTCCTTCTTCATTAGTCCAATACTGAAAATAGGCCCCTTGTTTTGAAGGGGAGATTTGCCAATCTCCACGCTTACAAAAGGATTGGCTATAACAGTATCATAGCCAATCCTTTTGTAAGATGTGTCAGACCTTTGTTGCTGCTCCCCGTCGCTGGTTGAGGAGTTGAATATACCACCATCTCATTCATTCACTATAATTTATCAACGTTTTCTGTTGAACATAGGCCTCACAATAAATTGCCTTGTAAAGGGGATATTTGCCATAGGTGCCACTCTCTGCAGGCGGGTTGGCAACCGCAATTTTTCGTTACACGGTTTCTACATTATTTTATATTTTTTTTTATTTATTCATTGAATTTACATGTTGTTTTGATCATCATCATTATCGCATCATAGTGATTCTTATTCAAAGTCATAGCCAAAATATCTTCTTTAAGCTAAGACAGCGTCTTCTTTAAGACCGCCCATCTTCATATTTAAAAATATTTAATTTTGGTGTTTAATAAAGAGTTGTCTACTCTCATTAAAAATTGGTATATAGCACTTGTTGAAAGTCAAGAAATAAGTTCAAAACAAGCTTAAACTTCAACCAGGAACTTCTACTGTGGGAGACCTTGAGAAGAAGCGGTAAGAGATACATAAGTAGACTATTATTCTCCCACCAGTTACAATTAAATCCTTTAAAATTTATTATAGTACCTGGGCTACCAAGTTTTGCTTGAGGCCTGCGCCCAAATCTCCTGAACGCTTGTCGATCCGATCTTCAACAAGCACTGTCTCTTCATACGTAATTAGCCTATTATTTTCAATTTTGTTTCACTGCTAGCATGTTGTCTTCTGTAACTGTTGCCAAAAGGTGACTACTTCTTTTTTCATTTCTCAAAGTTAGTCACTCGTGCTGAAATTTGTTTTAAAAGCGGCTATACCCATACAAATGCCATTTGAAATTTATCAAACAATTTATCGCATTTTAGGCGACATTTGAAATCGTAGCTCGAAAAATGTGAAGGGAGATTTGAAATTGGAACATTCATATTTTATTTGTAAATAATAGTATTTTCAAATAAACGGTAGGTAACTGGCCAGTGTCTCCTACAAAAAAAAAATCGTAATTCTCTTTGCGTGGCTAGTCTTATATTGCATTACATAACCTTCTAGAACGAGAAACTAAATTATATTTCTATTTGGCTATCTTCAGATGTCAGATTCTTACATGTGGAAAGAGCAGATCCACACCTTAATGAAGGGCGGAGAGAGCGAGTCCGACATATCGGACTCTGAGCACTTCCTCACCAAGGGCGCCTTCCTTCTCACTCCCTCACACGGTCTCAGCATGGAGAAGGCCTCGGCTATTTGCGAGAAGATGGAGTTCAAAGGTTGCTTCTCCCTTACGAAGACGGCCACTGGTATTCTGTTCAAGTTTTCCCATGTCGACGATTATCAGATGGTCTTCAAGAAAGGTTTTCATAAGGTCACTGGATCGAGGTTTTATAGAAAGGTAATCACTTAATTTTTTAACTTGCTCTGCCTCTTCGCCCTTGTTAATGCTTGCTTTCTAGCTAATGTTTTTCTTTGTAATCTAACAGAGACTTGTCGAAATGGGTTAACATTTTTACTTCAGGTAGAATGTTTAGGTCATAGTGTAACGTAAATATATCATCATTATACAAGCCGTTATTTAGCTACTGGTCTATTGAGACAGAGTACTGGTTAAATTCTATAAAAATATCATTCTTAGCGTACCATACTGAAATTCTTTTATTTGCTTTCTGCCTTCTTTTTTTTATAGAATAAGAGTGACAAACGAGCACACAGTCCACCTGATGGTAAGTGGTTGCTGTGGCCCATAGACATCTACATTTATCTTCGTTTGCGAATTAAAATGCAGATGCGTTGTCACCAGTGAGGACTAAGATGGAATGCCTCTTTTCCAGTAAAAAGGGTCTACGGTTCTCTACACTCACCATACGAAACACAGCAGCATTAAGCTGCTATTTTACGCTGGTATTCTGTGAGAGCGTGGTCTTTCCCCGGTCGAGCCGACCCATTCGTACTACAACTATACTACTAATATAGCTGCAGCATGGCTCTACTAGATATTTGTAGCATGACTCTAGCACGTATATATTCTTCTTTCCTTATCAGCCCGTTCAAGGCCACAGCTGGACACCATCTTCTCCGCTTATACGGAGACTTTGCTTTAAACATCACGCTTGGCAGACGGACACTAGGATTATCACATAAACTTCACGAGGGCAAACATCTAGACCCGGAACAATTATTTGCAGGCCATACAAATTTTTCTTTCGTGCGGGATTCGAACCCGCCGTCCTTAGCGCTGTAACTCATTGCTAAGTCACTGCGCCACGGAGTCGTCATAAATTTATAGATGGAGCAGGATTGACTAACCTTTCGCCGTTCTGGGTATTTAATTTCTGTTATAATAAAATGGTATTACGCTATCTATTGGAGTTTTCTGGCATTTTCCAAAGTCTGTTCTTACGATACCCACAAGACTAAATAGGATAATGGATTTTCCTACTATTTTATATTCTTGGATAATAAATAGATCAAGTAACATCCAGTTAGCGCATTTTTTTGTAAGCCTTCATCCAGCATTGTATTAAATGGAACAAAAAGGAAGGAATATAGCATATATTGACGTGGTAGAGCAAAGCAACAGTTGTATAATGGTTGTAGCACGAATTGGTTGGCTCGACCGAGTAAGGACCACGCTCACAGAATACCAGCGTATAAAAGCAGCTCAGTGCTGCTGTGTTTCCTATGGTGTGTAGAGAGAACCGGGGACCGTCTTTACTGGAAACGCGGCATTCCATTTTAGTCCTCAGCGATGACAACGCATCTACGTTTTGATTTTTAATCGAAAGAATCGAATAAAGATGTCTTATAGCTACAGTATTCACTTAAGACCACCCTTATTCTATAAAAAAACAGCAGTATCCTTATGGTAGTGATGTTAACTTTCACAGAGTGGTTATTTCCATTGATTTCCAGATCGCGATTCCCTGCCGTCCGCAAAAGACCTTCACGATCTACGTGTACGATATTCCGGATGAGGTCCCGGAGGAGGATGTGCGTCATGCCCTCTACAAATTCACCTCTGTTGTGGAAGTCGTTCGTTTTCACTACACCGGTTCTCCGAGGGAGGGTAATACTGGTGAGTAGATTTCACGACACTCAGTGTGTCAATTACGATGCAGTAAGAGATTCCTGCAACCCAGGTCACGGCGGTAAGTCCCAACGCAGTACAGGAGCGCAGTGCACGAGTGTATGCGCAAGCACAGGTGCACTCTCTATTAACTTACTTTTATAGTCCGATGGGATGGTAATCCTAAACGACCAGTAAAATCAGGTGCAGGTACAACTTTACGTGCTTACCGAGACATGGGAGTGGAACACCACCAGAGTTTCCCCAATCGAGCCGACTCATTCGTCATAATAAGATACAGTGTGTACAAAACCTGTTCATAAAGACAAATCAACAAACAATTAGAATTTAGTAAGTATATAAAGTGACGAACTGTAAGACATGCAGGTAGTTGGTGGAGGTAGGTGACCTATTTTTAGCAGTGGACTCTGATGATGACTATAGAGTTAAATCTAAAGTGTTATTATCTCTATTTTCTTTTTCACCTTTATAATTTCAAATAGAGAGTTCTTTTACATGTAAATTTTTTAAATCATGGGGACTGGTCTCCATAATCCCATAAAGTTCTATAAAACCTGTGTTAATATTAGGTCGGGGAAAATCATAATCAATACATAGGTATAAAACATAAAGAAAAATAAAAATTATAAAACACTTTCCCCCCACTTTTCAATTTTTTTTCTGTACGCCAAAATAAGTGAATCTTACGAAGAAAGTCGATACATTCTGAAGTTTATTACAAACAAAATGCGACGCAAGCCGCGAAAAAAACTTGTAACGTTTATGGACCCATTGCAGTGTAAATAACTGTAGCACAAAGTTGGTTCAAGCCTTTTCAGTCCGGGAATTTTGTAGTCAAAGATGCATCTCGCTCTGATCGCTCTCATACGGATAAAGTCGACGCCATTTTTGAAAAAGAGGAGGAAGATAACACACAATAAGATATTAGTAGTCATGACATAGCCGAGGAATTGAGTTGAATTGAGGATTGACACGCAATAAGGTGAGGCTGTGTGTATGGTGGGATTGGAAAGGCATCGTTTATTATGAGCTCTTACCGCCGGGCAAAACCATCAATTTGGATCTCTACTGCCAACAACTAATGAGACTAAAGCAAGAAATTGAAAAAAAAAAACGTGTGTGTGTACTTATGTACGCACGTAGGAAGTTAAGTATACTTCTTAAGCGTAACAAAACAAAAATAACTAAAAGTTATTTAAGAACCTGACAATTAATTGACGGCTCCGTGGCGCAGTGGCTGAGTGATCATTTGCGCTAATGGCCGCGGATTTGATTCCCGCACGCAACAAGTATTTGTATGGCCTACAAATAATTGTTCTGGGTCTGGATGTTTGTACTTGTGAAATCTATATATGTAAACTGCTCTCGCGATACAGGAGAAAATCCTAGTGTGTAGGTACCGTTTTTAAAAAAACCTGTAATTTGTTTTTATTAAGATTTTTATTCTTTATATTTACTCTTAATATTATACTTGGTAGAGCCATGCTGCAGCTATATTAGTAGTATAGTTGTAGCACGAATGGGTCGGCTCGACCGGGGAAGGACCACGCTCTCACAGAATACCAGCGTCAAATAGCAGCTTAACGCTGCTGTGTTTCGTATAGTGAGTGTAGAGAACCGGAGACCCTTTTTACTGGAAAGGAGGCATTTCATCTTAGTCCTCACGGGTGACAACGCATTTGCATTTTGATTTGTAATCGAGGATAGATGTAGATGTCTATGGGCTACAGCAACCACTTACCATCAGGTGGACTGTGTGCTCGATTGTCACCCTTATCCTATAAAAGAATTCTTAATATTGTTTCACAAAATAAACATACATTAATCACGACTTTTGATGGGTAAATTTAACCTCTTTTTATCTTTATAAAGATATAAATAACTATATTAACGATTTTACATCATTATGCTGAGAATGCAAAACTGCGATACAATCTCCACACTTAAGTTTGTTTTACGAAACTGTTCCTCTCTATCCACATTTGTAAAACAATTTTCTTTCTTATGTCCGTGGAAAGAAAATCACTCAATGCTAATATATTTTGAATAATTTTAGATCCTATATTATGTTTTGAGTATGTACATTTTTTAACTTTTTTCTTTGTCTATTATTCTTCTCTTTATTTAGATATTGTTTTTAATCTTTTCCTCTTTCTTGGAGTCACTTCAACACTACTGATTGATGTAGTATAAGCGGATAAGCTAGGTAGGATCTAACATATAATCTAGTTTAACAATAATATATAGAAGAATAATTCAACTTCTATGCAACTATAACTAACTCAACATTATGTTTCAAAGCTACTGGTACTCTTCTCGTCTTAAAAAACTTTAACTGAGCATCATTATTTATTTTTAAAGTTAATTTATATTTATTAAAAGCCCTCAGTTCATCTGTAAACAACTGTGAATATGTTTCCTTCTGATGCTTTACTAAGTCGTTATGCTGTAAGTTGTTGCAGTCTTACACAGTTTCATATTAAGCGACGTAATTAACTCACGACCCAACAGAACTGGTTGTTTAAAATCTGTTTTTATAATATAAAAACGAATAATTTCAGTATTTACAGTTACAGTAGTATAAAAATCGTATGAAATATCTTTTACTAAATCGTTGTCATCCACCTCCAAATAATTGTTGCTCTTATAACCAACTCATACAAACATGTTTTAAATGTCCTTTTTATTACACTTTTGACAAAAATAATTATGTCCACAAATCAAGCAAGATATATTTTTTCTGTAGTTTGACGAACAAAGTTTTATTGAATGACAACACAACCGTCGGATCTTAGTTATTTCGTAAGCCTAAAATATGGCTTACATACTCTACAATAATATAAATAAAACACGTGTTGTAGATTCATATATATATATTTGAATAACTACTTTAAATATAGTTATCAGTTCTCACGAAAACTTGAGAATCAATTACCTACTGAAGTAGTCGCTTTTAGGTGTCAATGTGCGCGCGCATCGTAACAACTTCATGGTGTCATTTTTAGGGGTCGGTGTGCGCGTGCATCGTAAAAAATTCACTCTCATCATTTTTCCCAAACGCCCCAAAACAAGTATAACTTCAAAAACGGCGGGAATTTGATCAGCAGAAAAGGAGTGGTCTTTCATCATGATAGCGCTAGACCACACACATCTTTGGCTACTCAGCAAAAATTTAGAGAGCTTGGTTGTGAAGTGTTAACCATGTAGTCCTGACCTTGCACCCTCAGATTTTCACCTGTTTCGGTCTCTTTAGAATTCTGTGGGTAGTGTTAGATTAACATCAAGAGAAGACTGTCAAAACTACTGGTCGCATATTTTTGATCAAAAGTGCCAAGTTTTCTGCAGCAACGGTATTATGTCACTTAGGTAGTGAATAGTGATGGCAACAAGTTATCGAAAAAAATGGCACATATGAATTATAATTAAATATAATTAACGTTGAAAAAAAATTGTCACCAGGCTGTCTAGATATAGATAAAACTCAACTTTTCAAATAAATGTAGATATTGCCCATACCTCAACTTCAAAACTAGGCTTTACAACCAATACGTGTTGCCAGTGATGACCTATGGAACTGAAACGTGGTCCTTCACTGCTCGGAGGTTCTTTGCGTCATAAACTTAGAAATGAGGATATCTGCAGTAGAACCAGAGTGTACGACATAGCCCAACGGATTAGTAAACTGAAGTAGCAATGGGCCGGCCATATAGCTCGAAGAATCGACAACCGATGAGGAAAAAAGGTTCTCGTGTGGCGGCCTCGTACCGTCGGATGAAGTGTAGGGCGTCCCCCACTAGATGGAGTGACGACCTGGTAAGACATGCAGTAAGTCGATGGATGCAGGTGGCTCAGGACCGTGTTTTGTGGCATTCCTTGAGGGAGGCCTATGTTCAGCAGTGGACTTGTGAAGGGCTACAATGATGATGATGATGATGATTGCCCATAAATATTTATACAGATATACATAACAGTCCATAATTCCACAGCTTAGACATTGTACATAGGACTCCCCTAGAGATTGTCTCATAGGAGGGATTTTGCCATAATTGCCATTCTTGGTAGGAAGGTTGGAAACCGCAGGTTTTTATAACTCTCAGTTGTTTTCAATGAAGATGCTGCTGCCTATACCCAGTTTCCCTCTGTCGCCTTTTACAGCACAGACATGATGAAGTGGTGTACTTAGTGGATATTCTTACACCGCCACTACACGGTCAAGATATAATCATAATGTATTTATTTCATGAACTAGCTTTTTACCCGCGGCTTCGCTCGCGTGCGCTTGAATTTAGAAACATCATTAAATGCTGTTCCGTGCCAAATTTAGAAAAATTCGGTCACTTTTAGAGTCACCTCGGTGGCTATGTCTCTATGTCTGTCAAAGATTTTTTCATTCTAAAATACTATTAGACGTAGATGATTGGTAAAATGTCTACAGAAACACGTGAATATATATGTCTAAAAACTCCTACTATTTTTTTATATCGGGCGTGTCTTCCGATTCCGATGTATCCATAAGAAAGGTAAATAGTCCTGAAGTCAAAATGTATTATTATTATTTACATTTTACTCTTTACATTTATTTATAGTTAAAGTTAATTTAGTTTTAACAAAGTGTTATAATGTTTATTTGAGACATCTTATTCATATCATTGGTCCTATTTAATATTGATTGGCACCATAAAAAAGATGTAGATATTTTCTTTTTACTTCGAGTAGACTTGAAAATTTCATAAATACAGTTCTATAATAATGAATACTACACATGAATTAAAACGAATGTTACGCGTTTTTTTACGCATCTTGGATGAGTTCCGAGTAAAATAACATATCGTTGATGTGAAGCACCGAAGCTCCAGGAAGTCTAAAGTATGTCAACATGTTTAGTATCGTCCCAACCATTATATCGGACCTGATAAACAACAAATCCTTGAAATAGAACACCGAATCCTACCAATGATGATTCGCGAGGCTATTGAAATTAAAAATATCCTAATTTTAATAGGGAAGATGGCTGAGTGCTACCATCTGCTAAGGACCCCATAATTAATAAAATTAAATTCAAACTACTACTGCATTTATTCTATTCTATTTTAACTATGACATCAGGTCGTCAAACACCTCAGTTCTCCCGATCCTCCCGTTATCATGGGTGCTGTAAAGTATCCAAAACATCGGGAATTTAAAATGTTTAAATTAAACGCGATAATATCCTTAAAATTAGTTTTATTCCTTATAAATATTATTCACAGTGAACGTGAGGATCAACTCATGAACGGGAGTAGAAAAATGTTCGCCCTGTTGTGGCGGTGAAAGAAAATCCACCACCTCATATCGTCCCGTCGTAAGAGGCGACATAGGAAAACAAATTGGAGATGGGATGGGCTGCATCATCTTCTTGACAACATAATAATAGCTGCGGTTGCCAATCCGCATTTTAACTTTTACCCTCATCTATGCAAGCCTTAATATTTACTGTAGAGTGAAAACTGAAAGCAACATACTCGAAAACACGAATAAAATAAAAACAACATATATTGCCCCATGAAAAGTAAAAAAGTAGCAGCTTACATGTTACTAATAATAGGCACAGGCCACAGAGTTTTTAGCCAAAAGTGTTCGCTGCGCTGATTCCAACGCGGGATAAAGGTAATGTAAATGATTCAATTATTTACATCGTATATTCAGTAGCATTGTATTATTTCATTTTATCAATGACTTGCCATTTTAGTTTATTTAGAAGTAAGTAGGTGGCGCTAATATTAGATGAAATATTGAAAGCCAAAACCATACCATCTAGTAATATAAGCAATAGAAACGAACATTTATTTATTATATCAATAAGAGATAAAGTGAAGTCAATTCTCTTAAAAGTACGCTGATAGCGTATTTTTTAACAGATATAACATTAAATCGTTTTTCACCCCTAGTGGTGAAAAACGATTTAATGTTATCGTCATATGACAATATTATGAAATAGCAACGTTGTGTTTAGTTATAACTATCTTCAAACGATTTCTATTCATTGATTTGGTCAAGCTATATCATGACATGGTCAACAAATAGTGTTAAATATCACTAAATGACCACACCATTTCACGAAACGATAGACTACTTTATGATATATGATCAATTCTACGATCTGGCCACGACATCCATAAAAATCTCTTGAATAAAACTATAATGATAATGAAAATTTTGCAACAATTGCAAATTTCAACAGTGGTCACCGGAACCGGTGCCACGCGGCAGCTTTTGCTGTCGCACGGATGGGCAGGCTCGAACCGGGGTGGTACCACGACCTCCCAGAAAACCAGCGTGAAGTAGAGGTTTACCTCTGCGTTTCGCTTGGTGAGTGCAGGTGCCCGGAGGCCCTTTTTACTGGAAATGAGGCATTCCATCTTAGTCCTCACGGGTGACAACGCATCTACATTTTGATTTGTAATAGAGGATAGATGTAGATGTCTATGGGCCGCAGCAACCACTTACCATCAGGTGGACTGTGTGCTCGTTTGTCACCCTTATCCTATAAAAAAATGCAGACAGACCAGTTTTAATCACTTTACATATATATTAGTAATTTAAATAAATACCTTATCAATTTTTATATTTATGATAGACGTCACTATTATCTATTGAAATTATTACACTTTCAAAATAAAATAACAAAATTACCAAAAAACGTTAAGTTTTTTAATAATTTTAAAAATCTAATAATTTAATCATATAAATGTAAGTTATTTATATAATTTCATTTATTAGTAACTGAAGGCAAAATATACTACTTTTTCCATTTGATGATAGATGGCGCTGTTTTGAATACCAAATCTGTTTAGTTTCAAATTAATTTACCAAGATTATAACTATATTTTAAACTTTATTTACAAATATGGTATTTATTTGAAAAACACCCGTCATCCCGCCTATAACTAAGAAATACTAAACCTTCCTTTTTTGAAGTTCCGTAATCGGATAAAAAGTAGCCTATAAGTTGCCCCGGGTTACTCACTACCTACATACAAAATTTCATGTAAATCGGTTCAGTAGTTTTTGCGTGAATCCGGAATACACAGACAGACATACAGACAGACAGAAAGACAGACAGACAGACAGACAGACAAAAATTCTAAAAACCACTAATTTGGCTTCAGAACGCTTATTTGACTTATTTTTTCAAGAATATAATAGAATTACAGACACGACTTTTCTACAGATTTATTATATGTATAGATTACACAGGTAACTCAACACCCAAGCCTTTGGAGAAAACGCCTCCTCGTGCTCTCACGACCATCGACGGAGAGCTGGTTAGCAGTATGGTGCCTAAAGAAGCGACTAGTGTAGTCCGCGTGACTCTTGCCAACATCGAAGAAGCGAACATCCTGCTGCAGAATGGCCTGGACTTTTATGGCGCTACTTATTTCCCCACCGAGTTGGCTACACCTGCACAGGCTGCTAAACTTATAAAACCCAGCAGGTACATATCACTGTAGTTAGCTGTTCGTTGATTGGCCTTTTAACTTTAGCAGTATTGTTTTGTATTAGTTATGTTGCACTTTTTTATACATAATTCTATAAATTAGAAGTTCACTTACGCTTGGCACAGAGCTATTGCACAGAGCGATGGTCGACTTATGTGGTTCCGACAGAATATCAGCGTTGCGGTAACTCTGTTACTGTAGCATTATATTGAGTCAGTGCGGTGTTCCATTTTTCTACTGATTTTAAAAAGGAGGTACTCAATTCGACTATATGTTTTTTATATGTGTTATCTTATAACTTTTTTCGGGGTGAACCGATTTTAATGATTCTTTTTTATTTGAAAGGTAGTACTTCTCATGTCATGTCCCATATAAATTTAATCAAGGTCTGATCAGTAGGTTTTGAGTTATCCTTAATAATTTATATTGAAGTCGATTGCACAAAATTTATAATTTTACCACTTATTTAATGATGAATTAATAATTACGCACGTAGATTAAGATAATCACATGTACTTAATCACAGTTAGTTAGTAGGGCTTAGCTTGCACTTCACCGCTTTAAAACATTTTCTCATCCTCAACAGAGCATATCGTTCCAGAGTGACTGGAGGAACGATGTCCGCGAGGGTGCGCGATCTTCTCCCAGTCTTCGACCAGCAGGGGTTCACTAAATTCGCCCCGCCCGCGTCCAGACTTGTTAAACCTCGCACCAAGTGAAATACAGACTCCAAGCCGTTATCTAATTTCAAGATACATCCTCCTGTCTCTGTACTTAATTGATTGATATTAGGCAAAATGATAAGTCAGTCTTATTTTATTGTCTGTCTTCGAAGATTTCAATGTTACTAACTTATATTTTTAAATGTGTCTATTTACATTACAATATAGAAGATATTATAAAAATAACTAAAATTAATGTGATCATTTTAGCCGCCCTCTTTTTGCGGTACACTAGATTGCTGACTAGGTTTCCTCATTTAATACATAGACGCATAACAACCAAGTAATTCATAAATAATGGCTAACTCCACCGTCATATTATGTCCGATAACAGGCCATTGATGTACGATAAAATAGATTTATACCTAATTATGAAGTTAGACAAAAGAAAACGTTATAATTTCTATAGTTTTACGGTAAATACCACTTATGTTAGTGTTTGTTTTGATTTTGTGACACTATTAAGTAGATTTTTTGATATACTTACTTTAAATGACTCTTTGAATGAGGAGACTCGACCGTCTTGTAAATTAAATTTATATTTTTATGTTTTATTATCTAATTATTGGACAGATCGTTTTATTGACGCTTCATTAATTAAAAATGTATAATATAAATGAATTAATCTAAGCACATTGCGTGTTATATATCTTAAGTTAACGCTATTTGTTATATTAATTGATTGTACCGAATTGCATTTATAAATGCGAAAAGGATAATAACTTATGTACTAGTACTATAATTTATTCTGTGCTTATGTATGTGCCATTTTTGCCGTACAACGGAAATGTTGTTACATTTTAATAAACCGTTGATTATGTAGTTTTAATTTTTTAATAAAGGTATTTAAATAAATATGAGATTTCTCTTTACGGCCAATAATTTTACATTTCCAATAGGGTATTACATCCATATTCAAAAAGTGTTTTAAATAAATCCTAGAGTCATTGATGATATATAATGATTATAATTTTTATATATTATTTGAAGCCGAATAGTGCCATAAAAATAACATTTCATTTATCGTTTTAAATTTTCGCGCGTAAACGCTAGCCGCCATGCTGTTCAATTGCTGTTCAACTTGTGACGTCACTGATTTTTTAGTAAATAAAACGATTTTGCAAAGGAATAAGATATTTTTGGATGCTTAGTAATTAGTTACTAGACGACTCCGTGGCGCAGTGGCTTAGTGTTGGGGTGCTAAGGGCTGCGGGTTCGAATCCCGCACGAGACAAGTATTTGTATGGCCTACAAATAATTGTTCTGGGTCTGAATGTTCGTCCTTGTGAAATCTATGTATGTAAACTGCCTCCACGATACAGGAGGAAATCCTAGTGTGGAGATAACGTTTATTTAAAAGAAGAAAAAAAGAAGATGATAAGTTATCATCTTTATCATTCGTGTGTTGTGCCTAATGACAAAAACTACCAAAGAATTTGAATTATTAGGCGAAATATGGGCCATTATCAGGCGACTCATTATTTTGCTGATTTCGGTGGCATTTTTTGTTTTTAAATTTAGGCCTTACTAACATGAAATATCAATTCTATAGTTAATTTAAAACATATTAGTAGTAGAGGGAATCGTATAGACCGAATGGTTAAGAAGGTATTTAATTTAAAAAAAAATGGTGTCCACCGAAATCAATATTTTGATCACCGAAATCAAATAACCACCATGGGGTGTGCAGGGTTATTTGTTGTCGGTTACCCCCGAAATGAACGGCTTGAATTTCACTAGCGTATTTTGTGCTGCTGTTCATCAGTGAGATTGCTTTTAATTTTTTTGAATGAACTTGTTCTGTGCGATCATAACTCCACAGTGAGTCATGTATGGAGGTAACATTTTTTCAAATTTTAAAATGGTCTCTGGGGAAAGCAGTCACTTTATCTTTCTCTGTGTGAATGGTTGTTTTTATAACTCCATTCTTGTAGTTAATATAAGTTATAGTTATATAATAATAAGTTCTTTTACTTCTTTTGCCAAACGACCGATGAACTTGATGGTAGCAAATCAACATACGAACTTGCTTCAGTTTGAAGCGGTCCTGATCGTATTGTTTGTGATTGTGAAGTCACTAAAGGATCGTCAGCTTTGTCGGTTACTTTTGATACGATTATTAAATCCTATTCAAGACACCTCATCTCTTTACGCCTTTTCAAATTGTGTTTGTTGGAAGACACTCTCTAAACATTCATTGTCTGCGAGGATCTAATTCACTTAAAGGCTTCATTCTTCCTTTTATAACACTTTCAGTAATATATAATTATAATATATAACTATAAACTAAAAGTTTATAATTATTTTAACTAACTTATACTTAATTTATTTAAAAAGGAACATAGGCCCCTCTTAATATTTTGATCGTACCTGTTATAGAAAAAAATATCAAGTTGTTAGTAATCCATTTCGTACTGGATTTCGACCCGGACATGCCTATTTGAGCCGTCTAAGAATGACAGATATCACTTAAGTAACATTTTTTAATTGGTTAAAAGCCGAATGCTTTTATGACGTTAAATATTTTTAGATAGTAATTAATTAATATTGTTGATTGTGTATTTTTATGCTATGTACCATTGTTAGCGAAACACGAGTGCACTATATAAATTGTAACATGTTCTTATACCGTGATTCTTGCAAATAAAGATTTATTATTTATGATTTAATGCAAAAATACGAGCATAAGAACGCCGGGGAAATTACGGATTCAAGTGCATTTTTATTTTTTTTACATGGTGCAAAATACTCTATTACGTAATAAAAAAACAGAGTCTATAAAGAATAACATATTTTATTCTTAGTTAATTAGTATTTTACAGACTATAATATCACAGATTATAATAAATTTACGCTTATAGCGATTAAGAGAATATCATTGAACATTGACTTAAAAATAATGAAGACTAGACTAGACTTTATTGTTTTTAATTCCTCTAAATTTATCCTCGATTTCCTGTAAACTCTTGCCCTTGGTCTCAGGCAGGATAAAGTACATAATTCCGGTTCCAACGAGCGCTACGACACCGTAGAAAAGGAATGTGTACACTTCTCCCAGGTTCGACATCATGCGGGGTGCCGTTTTAACAACAACGAAAAACGCCAGGAACGTTGTCGCAGAACTGATACCAGATCCAAGCCCTCGCGTTTTCGTGGGGAACACTTCTCCACACATCATCCAAGGTAGAGGTACGAGGCCGATCGATATGGCGCAAATGTAAACCATCAAACATGATAACGGCAGCCAGGACATGTCCGTGGGCTTCCCATCTGTCCAGTACAAATACAGTGACAGTCCGATCATGGACAATCCCGTCCAGATACCACTGATCAAGCACAACGGTCTTCTACCATATTGCTTGCATACGACACATGCCACCACTGACATCACCGTCCTCAGCGCGTCAATTATCAACATCGCCACATAATGGTCTATGCCCTTCCCGACGGCCTTCTCAACTATCTCAATAGAATAGAACGCGATAGCATTCACACCAGAAAATTGGCACGTAACAAAGAATATGATCATAATTGCTAGGGGTTTCAGCAATTCTGGACTTTTCAGATTAGATATCTTCTCCCTCCAAGTTAGGATAGTCTCCGACTCCGTTGTCTTACGTCTCTCAATTATCTTCTGTAACTCTGTTTTCGCTTCTTCGCTGTAACCCCTTAGCCAATAATACGCAGTCACTCCTTTATCTACTTGGCCTTTATAGATTAGCCAAGTTGGACTTTCTGGCACTGCACTTAGCAAAATCACCGATAGTATTGGAAACAGACAGCATATCACCGCGGTCCATTGCCAAGAGATGAAAGTGCCAATTATATGGGCTACGAGGATCCCCACCGCGATTGCCAATGACACTGCAGCAAGGAAGATACCTCTGGTCTTCGGCTCGGATGTCTCTCCAATGTAGACCGGGACTAATGGTCCCAGTAGACCAACACAAAGGCCAGTTAGGAATCTCCCGATTAGCATCAGGGTTAGATTGTTTGCGCATGATATGAAGATCCAGCCCAGAAGTAGTGGTGCACAGACTATGTAGTGCGAGTTGCGTCTACCAAACTTTTCCATCATCCATCCTGCGAGGAGACATCCTGGAGCCATTGGTAAGGCTGCCATTGCCGCTGAAAAATTAAACGAACAACATATTAAACAATATAATATCATACTACACTATTTTTACCAGAAAAATTAAGGGCATATTCAGTAATTGATATAGAATAAAATATAAAAAAAAATTTGGAAAATCCAAAAGTACATACTTCGAACGCTCATGTAATGTTTTGAATACAATAGTGAAATTCAAAAGCCTTACTAAGGATTAAAATGTAAAGTAATATGTATTAAAAGCTAATAAAAAAATTAAAGTGATAAGTTTAGTTTTCGAAAGATATCTTGTTCACGTCCATACCGACCAACTGACGTCCAAGTGAAATTATTTTCAATTAAGTTTTTCTTAATAATAACCGAAATAAATAATCTTATAACTACGTCAGTATTAATTGAAATCTCCTCATTCCATTGATGTACTTTTTTATTATATAAATGCATTGCAATATAAAGCTGGTAGAAGTGATTTAAGTTGAGTTAATCATGATTTTTTGATTTGGTGACAATAGAGCACTACATCTCCGCTTCGCGTTCGATGTGTGAAAATATATCCAATTTTAAATATCAGAATTTTGTAAATTGGGTAAGAGTAATCGAACATGGTACCGGCAAGTGAAGGTAGGGCCAGCCACTAGTTGGATTGACGACCTGGTAAGACATGCAGGAAGTCGATGGATGCAGGTGGCTCAGGACCGTGCTTTGTGGCATTATTTAAGGTGGGCATATGTACAGCAGTGGGATTGTGAAGGGCTGTAATGATGATGATGATAATGTAGCGGAGGTGGTTGAATTTCACCGACAATACGTGGACTAGTTATAGCACTTTAGTGCGATAATAATTTAGTAAAGTTATTAGAGTTACAGTAAATAATACAGTCTAATTTTGGACTCTTGAGTTAACAGTGGTAAATAAAATAATGACTTTCAATAAGTATTATGTAATAATCCATATTGAATAAAAATCATTCTATTCTATTCTATTCTATTCTAACAACCGTGTAGTGGCGGTGTAAGAACATTCACTACCTAATATCGTCCCGTGGGTGTCGTAAGAAGGGACCGAGGGAAACTAAAGAGGAGATAGAAGGCATTTGAAGCATTTGAAGTTGCTGCAGGATTATGCTGCAGCCCTGCCTGATAGTAAGACAAAAAAATGATCTGTGTGAAGCGTGGAAACTATGGCAAATATTCCACCTATGAGGCAATCTTCTTAGATTGTGAGGTGGCATAGAGAGACCTATGTTCAGCAGTGGACTTTTAATGGATATAATGAAATGGAATGAATGGTCGATCTACAATTGACAAATGTATCGCGTAACATACACATAAAAGAGAACATCCAGTTGAATTGAAAACTTCCTCCGTTATTACGACGGAACAAAATGGGATGATGATTTTTTTACGTTCCTACTATATGACACTATATGCCAAAATGACATAAATGTTGTACATTTCTAATTAAGCGTTTTATAATTAACTTAATTAATTAATTAACTCCAATACGCATGGAAAAATGGCAGATCAATTATATTATATCGCATTATATTATTTTCAAGAATGCAAAATTTGGCATCGGCGATCACGCGGGCTATCACGGCGGGATGTCTGGTTGTGAAATGTAATTAAGGAGCCATAAAGACGAATAGCTTCAAAGAAGTACATAAATGAATTTATGTACCTTTTTAAATAAAACATGGCAACACAGAGAATAAGCGCTTTCTTTAAAATATATATGAGAGCAAGTCGAGATCTATCTCCATCTATCGCCAGTTTTAACAGAGACTAGCCATGTGCGAAGGACAGGATTAATTGCACAATAATTGCGCAAGCTCAGGCTTTCTATTCTATTAGTCATGTCCTGATGATGGTGATCTAACAGGACCGGAAAGAGATCAGGAGGACGGTTTTGCATGCTTTCCGAGGAACGGCGGTGAAACATCGACAACTGCCTGACTCCAGGCTGCTACTGAGAATATATTGACAGAAAGACCCTATAACTCGACCACGGATTGGAACCCACGTAGTTGCATATACAACCAGTAGACCAACGTGGGAGTCATACAAATCACCAAAAGCTAAATATTTTGTTGCAATTTTAAAAGTTAATTGACTTCTGCGGTTAGAGTAAACATCGTAAGGAAACCTTCTTGTCTGAAAGAATAATTATATTTGGAGGACATGCAAAGTCCGACACGCATACATTGAGGATTGTTCCTTGTCCAAAAACTCTTTTAGAAATGAATGGAGGCCTGTGCCGCGGTGCCTGTGATAGAGGATATTTACTATAGTTGCCACGTTTAGCAGGTGGGTTAGCAACCACAGTTGTTTTTATTTTATAGTGGTTATTAGGTAGACGCTGCCTTCCATCTCCTGATTTCCCTCTGTCGCCTCTTACACCCATGGGGCGATATGGGTTAGTGTATATTCTTACAACGTCAGTACACCAGTTTTATATAAAGTCTGCATAATATACTCATTTGCCATGTTGTGCCCCATTTCGTCCTCCATACCATCTCGTTTATTCCAGACGTAATCTAACGTCAGACCTCTGATCGGTAGCAGCGTCCAAACTGTGGTACCTGGTACTGGTAATGCGACTGTAACCCGCCTGCCAAGAGAGACTATTTAAGCAAACCATCCCTACAACTGGACAGCTCTATGTTCAACAGTGGACTTTAAGGGTTGTGGTAAGTGGCGATGAATTCGAAGATTGTGGCGATCTGGCTAAGCAAGACAAAAGCGAGCGTGATAAAATCAATATAGTATTTTACCTATCCATGATGCTGTGTCCTCATCCCATGGAATAACGCTACCAGGCTCTTTCAACTGTGGTAGGACAATTGCTGAGTAACCGGACGTGAGACCAGAAGTGAAGGTCATCAGGATTGCTGCTGACGCTGCCACGGTCTGTAAAGTGTTTTGTATTGTTTTACGCAAAATTAAAAACAGCTTGAGTAAAATTAGCATTTTTACCATGAAATTGTAGTGGCAAACGACCGTTCAGTCTACTTGATGGTAAGTAGCTACTGCTTATGAACAACTTCGACACCTGGGATTGTTTTTGGATTTCGTCTACATTATATCATATTAAAGCTATGTCATATTAAAATAGCAAAACATGGGAGCACAATAAAACTAAAACATCTGTATCTATATTTACCATGTTTTATGCAAATAAAGATTATTATTATTATTATTATTAAATTAAAATAGTAATAAAGGCAGGCTAAGTAAAACCTGCGACTAACTTCAAACAACAAAGGCTACAGATGCGTTGTCACCTGTAATTTGCATCTGCAAGTCCCCTGGTGTTGCATGGACGGTAGTCACTTACCAACAGTTGAGCCGCATGCTCGTTTGCCTCCTCTTGTATATTTAAAAAAAAACCTCTGTAGACAGAATCACGTCTTGCCCAGGTGTTATTATCAACCGTGTATTCATTAATGTCTTTATTATTTTTATAATGTCAATATTTAGTATAATAAAAAGAAATAAACTTGGTAATAAAGAGTTTATTAGAAGACTTTATTTTCTGGAGCTATGTTGTAAAAGGTATATTACATTGAATTAATAAATTACTGCCTAAATTAAAACTGAATAAAAATAAAAATCATGACTAGCGAATTCATTTTTTTTATTTTATAGGATAGGGTGACAAACGAGCACACAGTCCACATGATGCTATGTAGTTGCTGTGAGCTGTGACCCATAGACATCCACATCTATCCTCAATAAATAATCAAAATGCAGTTTCGTTGTCACTCGTGAGGAATAAGATGGAATGCCTCTTTTCCAGTAAAAAAGGTCTCTGGTTCTCTACACTCGCCATGCCAAACACAGCATTATTAAGCTGCTATTTTACGCTAGTATTCTGTGAGAGCGTGGTCCTTCCCCGGTCGAGCCGACCCATTCGTTCTAAAACTATACTACTAATATAACTGCAGTATGGCTCTACCACGTAATGTTTATGATAATTAAATAAACACCGTTGTCTTAAACCAAACAACGTGTTCAATTAATGTTTTTTTAAATAGAATTAGAGTGACAAACGAACGCACAGACCACGTGATGATAAGTGGATACAGTGGCACATACACATCTACATCTATTCCGATATAGAATCAAAATGCAGATGCGTTGTCACTCAACACAGCAGCATTGAGCTGCTATTTTACGCTAGTATGCTGAGAGACGTAGTCCTTTCCCGGTCGAGCCGACCCATTTGTGCTACAGCATGGCTCTAACACGTGAAACATTTTCCCATTTGCGGTTACATTACCACTTAAACATCAAGTCAGACACCAATCATCATGACAAGTCTACCAGGCCACCTCACGGCACGCACTAGGCCAGCTGCATCCATTGCAGAACATAGACTTCCCAAGGGATGCCATAAATCAGTACTACTTGCATCCATCGCCTTTTGCATCTGAGATCGTAACTCAATCTAGTGGAGGCTATACTATGATTATTTCACCAGCACGAAACTGCCACTCGCAAACCTTCCTTTCCCATCAGTGATCACAATTTGATGTAGGTAATCACAGTTCTCGGAATTGTATCACGTGATGTCACTATCACAGTTCATTGTGCTGCATTTAAATTTATTAATATAAATAGTTATAACACTGCATTAAGTTGTACTATCAAATGTACAAAGTCTACTTGTAACTGGGTGAAGTAGTTCGTACATCGACTCTCAATTATTCGATTGACGTTTTCAGCTCGTATTTATGTTTACGTTTTAATAACCGCATTCTATTTTGCTAAGTAGTTAAAATAGGAATTTAGAAAACAAAATTAGACTTTGGAAATAAATGACCTGGAAATGAGGCATTCCATCTTAGTCCTCAGGGGTGACAACGCATCCGGATTTTGATTCATAATCGGGGATAGATGTAGATGTTTATGGGGCTCGTTTATCACCCTTATTATATAAAAAAATAACCCGCATTGATCATGAGTTGTGTAGGTACTAGTGTGTATACTGGATCATCGTCTAGAAATTATTGTACTGTCATTATTTTTTAATATATTATCTAAAAAGTTATAAGTTAAGACGTCCGAAAGTCGGTCATAGCAGCCGCACCTCACCTACTCACGTAAATGAATAAGCAATTCGCTTTCGACATTTCGCAAAGCAGCGGACGTTTGCAAACAGGCGACGGTGTTTGTAATGATATATAAATTAATTAATTAATTCATACATTCATAATTACATACTTCGTAACTTTCATCATGGGGGGTATATTGCCATAGTTGGCACGCTTGGCGAGGGGGTTGGCAACCGCAGTTTTTTATTGTATTTTTGCCGTTACCAGGAAGATGCTGCTGCCCATCTCCTGCCTGTTTCCCTTTGTCGCCTTTTACGACACCCACGGGAAGATATGGGGTAGTGGATATTCTTAACCGCCACTACACGGCACGACATTATTCCGAGCGAGCGAGCGAGCGAGATTAGAATGGCTCTCCAGCACCTTAAAAACGGCAAGGCCCCAGGCGAGGATGGAATTACATCGGAGCTTCTGAAAGCGGGTGGAAAACCGGTACTTGAAGTCCTTCAGAGGCTCTTTAATTCCGTCCTCCATGGTGGCATTATACCGGAGGCGTGTAGCAGAAGTGCGGTGGCCTTGTTCTTCAAGAAAGGTGACAACGCTCTCTTGAAGAACTACAGACCGATTTCCCTTCTGAGCCGCGTCTACGTGCTGTTTTCGAGAGTCATTACGAATCGCCTCGCGCGCAGACTTGACGACTTCCAGCCTCCCGAACAAGCCGGTTTCCGAAAAGGCTTTAGCACCATAGACCACATACATTCCCTTCGGCAAATTGTACAGAAGTCCGAGGAGTACAATTTGCCACTATGTCTGGCGTATGTGGACTATGAGAAAGCCTTTGATTCCGTCGAAATTTGGGCGGTGCTGCAGTCCCTTCAGCGATGCCAAGTTGGCTGTCGGTATATCGAAGTGTTGAAGTGCTTGTACAGTAGGGCTACGATGACTATCCGAGTACAGAACCAGAGTACGAAACCTATCCAATTGCAGAGAGGTGTAAGACAGGGTGACGTCATATCCCAGAAACTCTTCACCGCTGCATTGGAAGACGTTTTCAAGCTTCTGAACTGGAAAGGATACGGTATCAACATCAATGGCGAGTACATCACTCACCTTCGATTTGCCGACGATATAGTCCTTATGGCAGAATCGCTGGAGGACCTAAGCACTATGCTCAATGACCTCAATAGTGTTTCCCAACGGATAGGTCTTAAGATGAACATGGACAAAACAAAGATCATGTTTAATGTCCATGTCACACCTATGCCGGTAGTTGTTGGGAACACTAAGCTCGAAGTTGTTGACGAGTATGTTTACCTGGGACAAATAGTCCGACTAGGTAAGTCCAACTTCGACCGAGAGGTCAATCGACGGATTCAACTCGGTTGGGCAGCGTTCGGGAAATTACGGCACATCTTCTGGTCAGGTATACCTCAAAACTTGAAAACGAGACTGTACACCCAGTGCGTGTTGCCAGTGATGACATACGGAACTGAGACGTGCTCCTTCACTGCTGGCCGGATGAGGAAGCTCAAGGTCGCTCAGTGAGCTATGGAGAAGGCTATGCTAGGAGTTTCTCTGCGTGATAAACTCAGAAATGAGGATATCCGCAGTAGAACCAGAGTGACCGACATAGCCCAACGGATTAGTAAGCTGAAGTGGCAATGGGCCGGCCATATAGCTCGAAGAACCGACAACCGATGGGGAAGAAAGGTTCTCGAGTGGCAGCCTCGTACCGGCAGGCGAAGTGTAGGGCGTCCCCTCACTAGATGGAGTGACGACCTGGTAAGATATGCAGGAAGTGGATGGATGCAGGTGGCTCAGGACCGTGCTTTGTGGCATTCTTTGGGGGAGGCCTATGTTCAGCAGTGGACTTGTGAAGGGCTGTAATGATGATGATGATGATAATTACATACATGGAGTTTTGGCGGGAACTGAACCGCCGATGGAGTTTGCACCTGTTTTACTGTTTAATTAACGGCGTGGAGTGGATTTTAACATGTAAAAGTGATGCTACTGTGTGTATTGTCTGCGCATGTGAATTATTATGACGATGGAAATGTCAAGTTATTTTGATCGCTTTAGGCGCCTTGAGAACTTGAAATATTGTCATCTATTGTCTGTTGTTTTAAGCTGTCGTCGAAATCTCCCAAAGACTTCGCAATGTGAGGCATTAGCATATTGTAAGATTTTTAACAAATATAATCAAAAACTATTTTTCATTACTTGACACTGGCAAAAGTACATCCGTACTGGGTCATCGCCACAGAAAAAAATACATATATTTAAACATAGATACATTGTTACATGCAGTTACATGCTAACATACATAAAGATACGGGCTAATAAAAGCATGTTAAAAATGTTTTGTACAATTTTTTCTTCATTTGCTCATAATGTGTATTTGGTTAAACATAACATTTTAATAAGTATGTAAAGGCAAATTTTTTAGTAATTGCTGTGGAGCGGCGGTGTAAGAATATCCACTACCTCATCCTCTCCCAGCAGTGTATTTTTTTGTAACAACTTAGACATTAAAACTGCGGTAGCCAACGCGACTGTCAACCGTAGGAACTGTGGCATGGATCCGTATATCAGGCAAGCCATGGGGAAGCCTATGTTCAGCAGTGCACTTTTTTGGCTGTAACAGTAATGGTATACAACAGTTTACCTGTTTCCATGCTGGCGAAAATCTGACAACAGTTTTGGAATCTGTGAATAATGGCGCCTCTTTACAATTTTCTTTGTCGTTTAACGCGAGGCCGGTACTTGAGTTAGATATTTTAATATTTTGTATGTAGTTAGACACATTCGAACTGGTACCATCAGAGTTTTCTTTGGCTATGCTAGTTTCATTTGCATTTGTATTTATTGTCACGTTATTATCTTCTTTTGCTTGGTGTTTTGGGTTTTGTTCACTTTGTGTTTCTCCTACGTCTCCGTTAACTTCTCGATCCTCTCCCATTTCTGTCTGCAAAACAAAAAAGGATTATATGTTATTTGTCTTTTTGAAACACTGCTTAGACTGTTGTTACATATTCATTTTAATTAATATTCAATTAATATTTGATATATGGTAGACTCTATCATCAGCTTTTTTAAAGAATAGGTGACAATCGAGCACATAGTCTACCTGGTAATAATTGGATGCTGTCCCCCATAAACTTCTAGATCTATCCTCGAATCAAAATCAAAAGCTAGATGCATTGTCACCCCTTGGGACTAGTAGCGTTACCACTAAAAAGAGGCTCCGAATCCCCAAACTCACTATACAAAACACAGCAACATTTGCGCTGGTATTCTGTGAGGGCGTGGTTTTTCCCCGGTCGAACCGACCGGTTAATGCTGCAAACCTAATATAACTACAGCGTGGCAGAATCACATTGAAATCATCAATCATCTTGTCGCTGTCATCTCACGGTCGTATAGGTAGGGCTTAATACGAAACGTAATGTCTTCATGTTATTTCGTCACTAATTTGTGGGAAAACAAAATCTATAATCATTGCCTTTATTTGACCGAACGTTCTATATTGACTTAAACTAATTGGTTTTTATCGAGTTTAATTTAAATTGAGACAGGTTTTTAGCAATAACAGATATTTTAGTATTTTTTTATAGAAAAAATAAAGTGTCAGACGAGCTAATGATGTGGCTCATAGATGACTTCATCATTTTAATTTAGAATCAAAAGAATTTCTGTTGTCAATGCCACGTTACCAGTGGAAAGGATCTCCGATCTCAAAAACTCAACAGCATTGTGCTGCTGGGTATTCCGTTCTGCAGCAGTAATACGCTTCAATGTGAATATTATATAATTAAATTACTTTTATATATTACGGTTAAAGTATGAAATAGCCGTTTATTATTGAAAAATTCAAACAAGTTCAATCAACTAAGAAAAAAATATATTAATTTTACAAAGGAGTCAATAATGTGGCGTAAATTACCTTTTTATAGAATATGGGTGACAAACGAGTACACAGTCCACCTGATGGAAAGAGAATGCTGTAGCCCATAGACGTACAAAGCCTTAATTAAGAATCAAAATGCAGATGCATTGCACTCCTGAGGACTGAGATGCAATTTATTTATTTATTTATTGAACAAGTACAGTTACAATATACATATATGACATTGTCACAAAATCTTACACACTTTTATATTTTCTGATATGCATATCAATTACAAGTGTACATAACATTTACAGATTGAATCGTGCAACATAATTTAGAATTAATTTGAGGTAGGAAAAACATACAATCAACGCAATAAAATGAGAAATAATTTAAGTAAATTATGTTACTAAATAGGTAAGAAAATCAAATGAAAAAAAAAAAGAAACCATGTTCAATTATTGGGAAAGAAAATGGTAGATATTGTACTCTCTTTAGAAGTATGAACATTTTTAATTTAAGTATAAAATAGATTCTATTAAAAATATAATTTTTAACAGGAACTAATTAACTAGGCGATAAATGCCTAGTAAGTTTAATTTTGAAGGTCTTAAAAGAGTCGTGAAATATATCGATGCTAGGTATGGTATTAATTTAAATACTAATAACATAATATACAATATTAAACACTGTAATACTAATTGTAAAAATAACAAGGGCATCCACAACTTTTTCTGCCACCGTTGCGTCACTTAGCAATGAGGTGAAATATTTGATAGAACTCAATTTGTTAGAAAAGTTTAGAGATTAATGTTTCTTTCTGAAATATTGGTCATATTTTATATTTATTAGATTAGAAATGGAGTAAAAAAAGTATACAGCACTGAGAAATTGTTTACATACATACAATAAAAACCAAATATCTTATTATTAAGGCGATACCCCGACCAAAACCTTGCGATATTGCGTTTTTCTTCGTTATTCAGAGACTATTATCTCATTAGTTATGAGAAATAAACTACATCTAAAAGCATATTATTAATGTTCGATATCCTATCATCACATCCACGTTCTAATTTGTTTTATGTGTTATAAATACATTTAAAATCTACTTTTAAAAAACGACTAAAATTATTGATTACATGCATCTCTTGCTAAAGGCAACGCTCTTATCATTTGAGGATACACTAATGGATATATAATTTAAAAATCTATCACGTTTTATTTAATTTTTAAAGTTCGCTTTTCTTTTTTAATTAATATAATTCCAAATATTGTGTGAATTATATGATAAAGCGGCGTACGTCTAAAGAGGGAACGATTGCTCAAGGTTATTTGGTCAGGGAAACGCCTTAAATCGCAACTTTTCAATAATAATAAAACTGTGTGACCATCTGTGCAACAAATAAGTTCACCTTAGTCCCAACTACCGACATCTGGTGAGCGTAAGCTTATTAGCACTCATTGAAAATCAAACAATGGAATGTGATAAAATTTTCGAATTTAGATTGTTATAGTTTTGTGCGAGAAGTACGAATCTTGGACTATGTAGGTTCCATTATTATTCAAATTAGCAACGTCATTATAAAGAAAACATCATACTTTAACCCCTATTACTTATAGCAATTGTTTCTTGCATTAACATTAATTATGATGTAATTTTTTTAATTTGTGCGTGCAGCCACACAGGTCTAATAAGACCAGTATCACTGCGACCATGGTCACGCCATGGCTATAGTTCACTACTAAGCCGTAGGTATGTCTTCAATGAATTGAAGGAGGTGCTTAGCTGTGAGCAATTTCACTTTTTTCACTTCTTTTAGGCTAAGTACGTAGTTTCCCAGATGAGTGTACGTTTGCGCATTAAGGGATAATAATCAGTTAGGTGAAGAATAGAATAGAATAGAATAATATATTGAAAGTCATTTTTTTACTTTACCACTGGTTCGAGAAAAACCCTCTGTCCTGGGAAGAACCAGCAAGAAACCCAGCGGGACTTTTTTTTAAAAGTAAATTTTACATTAATGATTGTACAAACAATTTACAAAATTTATTTTAGAAACTGTTTGGAAGCGACCACCTCATTCCCAGGGGTTATTATCAACCATGTATTCATTTATACTATAGTAACCCTTTTTATACAGTTTCAGCATAACAAAACATTTAAACTTGGTAATAGAGAGAGCTTGTACACTTTCCGGAACCTTGTTGTAATAGCTTATACATTGGCCCAAGAATGAATTACTGACTCTGTGGAGTCGAGAAACTGGTATCACTCATCGTTTACAGAATGTATATTTTATTGTTTTTGTGAACATGCATTAAATTTTCGTAAATATACTGAGAGGCCAAAGTTAATTTATTTATTTCTTTAAATTTATCTCTAAGAGATTATCTCGGTTTTAGACTGTAAATAGCTTTAATGGTCCTCTTCTGTAAAACAAAAATAGTTTCTGAATCAGCTGCATTTCCCCATAGCAAAATCCCATAAGAAATTATGCTATGGAAATAACTGATATAAACTAATCTAGCTGTCTCGACACTAGTGAGACCTCTAATCTTTTTCTTCTGCAGACTAAGAAGACTAAGTTCTGCAGCCTATGCTGCAGAACTTAGTCTGCTTGCTAATTTGGATATATGGGGGCCCCTCTGAAGCTTTGCGTCGATAGTGATGCCAAGAAAAACAGTGGATACAACAGAGCTCAAGAAAAGAAAGAAGAGCCGTGGTAGCTCAGATGGTTAGCGCTCGCTGTAAATTTCACAGTATGCGAGTAACCCGGGTTCGATCCCCGCCGGTACCAATGAAATTGTTAGTTACAATTTTAAGTGCTGATTTACCACGTGCTCGGCGGCGAAGGAAAACATCGTGAGGAAAATTGCTTGTCTGAGAAATAAGAAAAAAATATTTCGAATACATGTGAAGTTCGCCAACACGCATTGGACCAGTGCGGCGGACACTTTCCCTAAAACCCTCTCAGAAATGAGAGGAGACCTGTGCCCGAAAGTGGGACGTATATAGGCTGTAGCTTTAATCAGTTAGGATTTTCAGTGTTTCTTCCGTTAAGGAACAGAATCGGCATATCCTTGAGTTGCTCGGTTCCAAGATAGACATGTGCTTTTTAAACAACAATGACCAGTCAGGGCTCTTGCATAATACGCAGTTTGTTCTTACTTAATCTCAGGGTTTATGAAGTGAGTTTACGATGTATGTTGAATATTATATATTTATTCAACATATTATGCAGATTAAGCTGGGATCTGTAAATATTTAGATATGACGTCAAATACTTACTAGGCATAACCACGGCGTTTTAAAACGAATACGTAATTTTTTACGATTTGTTTGAGCCAGCGAATTATTATCTGATAATTTAAGCTAACTTACGATAGGCTTTTCTCTATTAGCTCAGATTAACTAAATAGTTACTACGTAATTCTTACCTCATCACAAATATTTTTCTTCATCCATTCCATTATAAAAGTCATATATTGAAATATTTTATTTATTTATTTAAACTTTTATGCTTTCTTGTACGTGGTAGAGCCATGCTGCAGCTATATTAGTAGTATAGTTGTAGCACGAATGGGTCGGCTCGACCGGGGAAGGACCACGCTCTCACAGAATACCAGCGTAAAATATCAGCTTGACACTGCTGTGTTTCGTATGGTGAGTGTGGAGAACTGGAGACCCTTTTTACTGGAAAAGAGGCATTCCATCTTAGTCCTCACGGGTGACAACGCATCTACATTTTGATTCGCGAACGAGGATAAATGTGGATGTCTATGGGCCACAGCAACCACTTACCATCAGGTGGACTGTGTGGTCGTTTGTCACATTATCCTATAAAAAAAATGCACAAAAGAAAAATCGTACATATGGCGGACTTAATGCCTTAATTAACTTAATTAATATAGCTTTAGTTTGTCACGCTTGACTTATTTTAAGTTGTTATCAGAAAGATGCTGCTGCCCATCTCCTGTTTCAGTTTCCCTCGGTCGCCTGTAACAACACCCACGGGATGATATGAGGTACTGCATATTCTTAGCCCGCTGCTACACGGTTAACTTTCTTCAAA